CGTCGTGTTTCCCACCTGTCGGTCGCAGAGGCTGGGGAAAAGCTGAGACCCTCTCGGGCTCCTGGCTGTGCAAGGATGGGTCCTGCAGAGCAGGGGCACGGTTTTGGGGTGCGAGGCCCCGAGTCCTGTGTGGCCACCCTGCAGGCCTTTGTGAAAATGGCCCTCCTTTTCTTTTGACTATCAGGGTCTCATTGTGTTACCCGTGATTTTAGTAGTAGGTGGAGTGTATGTGGTGGTATAACACTGCAAACAGACATCTCTAATTGCGCGGCAGAAGATAGCAAATACAAGGAAAATTATTTTAGTTCACAGTCCTATAGTGACTCACGGAAAGAAAACTCCACGACCTGTAAGGTTGTAAAGTGGGCGTTTATTCAGCGTGTGGGCGCACAGGGGATCTCTCCACCACAAACATGCATGCCTTAAACAGCAGTTTCCCTCGATTTTATACAATAACATCTTGCATATTTATTAAGCGCCTATACACATTCATAACCTTTCCCCGAAAAGGCGGTCTTTTCCCAGAAGACCTTTGCATGTGCTTAACCACCTTCTCCTCCCAGTCGCGCTTGCACAGTGCCTCCTGGTGGTTGCGGGCTGGGGTCTCAGGGATGAAGTAAGTAGTCTTCATCATGTTGAACTCCTATAACCTTCTGGCACATGCTCCTGGAACTTCTCCAAGTCACAGAGTCAGTTTTATCTGGTTTTAGGCCACTTCAGTTTCTCTTTCTCTATACTTCATTTCCTGTACTCAATACCCTATTGTTAGTTAGTTACATGCCTGCTAACCCCAGTTTCTTATTAATTTCTATAAGCTATTCAGTTCCTTGGTTACGGGATTACTAGGTTTTACCTAGACCCTAGCCCTAAACTACAGTCCCCCCTTTTCAGTAGCTAAGCCTGGGACCAAAAAGGTTAACCATCCAAATAGATACAGGCAAGATTCTTCTCATACTTCATGTAATACTTGGAAATGAGTCTTCTCTGTAGCAGCTGCCACTTTTTTGGTCTTGATTTACAGATGAAGACAGCGGCTGGTATTCAGTAATGCAGTCCCTGTGCCTTTGTCACTCTTGGTCTTCAGGAAATGGAGATCACAGAGGTTTTAGCTCACTTCTGAGCAAGCATGATATCTGATGCCTGCACCTCAGTGGGTACAGAGAGGCAGCCATGGAAGGCCCAAGATCTGAATGAGTATGTTTGAAAAATGCTCCTCTCCTTGCCCCAAGTATTTTTTCCACCTCATCAGCTGAGGTGGCTGGAACATGGACAGGAGAATGTGAGAAACAAGCCCACATATTTTTAAAATGTTTTACTGGGAACAAAGTCAGTGGAGCAGAGAAAACAGTGCTGGGCGCAATGGCACACTTTGTCTTAGCAGGGGTCTCTTTTTATAGAGCAGCAAGGAGTTCTCACTGGTTGAGCGGAATGGTGGGAAACGATGCAGAGGGACATGGTTGGTCTTGGTGGTCCTCTGGGGTTGGTGGAGGCGAAGTCCAAGTTCCTCTCCATCAGGAGTTCTCTGCCTGACGACGCTGTCTCCGCCTCCCAGCCACTCCGAGGGCCACACCCCTCCCCTCAGCCACCTTTACTCACAAAGAGCTACTTTACATGATGCCTAATCACAGACCTCCCCCCCTTTTGCTTGCCCAACTCCCCACAGTGCTCAACCATATGCCTAACTTGTGACAAAAGGCTTGCTTAACTGTTCTAACTTTAACGACACTAACTTAACAACAGCTCTAACCCAGCTCAATAACAGTAACTGTTTAATTAACCTTAGCGAAAGCAAAATTCTATTATTATTTCTCACAATCCACCCTTTTCGTTTTAATACTGTATTTTGCTTGAGCTTGCTAACACTTAGTCTTATTCTTTTCTTCTTCTTTCATTCTTTCTGTTTCCTCTACTATGAGCCTGGCTCTTTCTAATGAATTTTTAGTGGTACATTTTGTCTTTAATAATGAAGTAGTGTTACCTAAATGGATACTTGCTCTACATTAATTCCCTTTAGTTAGACAAATACATGAAGTATGCAGGAAAAGTTCTATTAGTCTATAAAAGGCGTCAGTGTCAAGAAATGCAAGGTACTGGCATCTTCAATTTTATAAACTTCACCAAAGGTGCAAATGATTTAACGCTTCCCAGGCTCACATAAGCAGGTCAGTACTGCTATGTCTAGTTTTCCTAGAAGTACCGTCATCTCGAGGCAGTGCTTTTTGCAAGCTCGACATAGCAGCAGTTCTTTCAATGTCTGTCACAGCATACAGCTCTGTGCGCCTGATTGGAGTTTGTGGAAGTGGAGTGGTGGGGGTTTTTGGAGTGTAGGGGTTGTCGGAGTCACTACCAGTTTCCAAAGTCAACCTGTATGTAGTTGAGCTGCCTGTGTTCTAAACTCGGATGCCTAATGTCAAAGTTAAAGACTGTTAAGGTACAGTCCTGACATCGTGTAAATTCTACTTTATGAGCACTTGCTGGTACTGTTACATTCTCTGTATTGACATAATTATGTATCAGATCTAGGTTATTGTGGTAGCCATTCAGAGATGGGGTCTTTGGTCCTAAACTGTCATCTTCATCTCTACTCAGCTTGCGGGCTTCCCAAACAGGAGGCAAGGATGGCAAGTTCTCTTAGTTCAGCAGCACAGTTCTCCTCTGAGCAGAGATGTTAATGTTCTGGGTGTCTGAGGTACTGGTTGATGTCAAACGACCCCTCCTGACCCCTGAGGCACCAGGCACCTATTTATATTTTCATACACCAGTTTATTACCAGATGGTGTTTCTCTACGTTCATCACTGTTGTACCCAGTGTCCCATTCAGTATTGTTTGCGCTGCTGCCACTAACTTGGTCTCTCCCAAGTTGCTCCAGTTTCTCTCTTTCCATTAACTGCCTTTGAACAGGTGTTGGTCCTAAAACAAACTTGACTCCTTCAGGCTCCAGGAGAACCTGAACATCTCTGTCATCAGTACACATCTGATCTTCTTTCACTTTAGTTGTTTCAGTGTTTGAAAGCTTCGATTCCAGTGGTGCGTGCACACTTGACCAATTTTTTCTTTCTTCTTGTACCCCAGTAGTGTTGACGTCAGTGTGCACTTGCTCCTCTGCTAAAAGTAGAGGATGTGTTGATTCTTCACTGACAGAGGGGAGGCGTGCACTTTCGACAGAAGGATGTCTGCTGGAAGGATGTGATGAAACATCTCCAAAAGACGGGTATCTGGGATAGCCGTTGGGTAAACTTGGTGCATTGAACCCTGGAGTGGTAGGCGTTCGAGGGTTTCTTGGAGCTTCCAACTCAGTTTGATGGTTATTCCTTTCTGCTACTGGTTCTTCTACCACATTTATGCTATTATTCTGCATTATCTCTTGCAATATATTAAATAGTTCTTCTGCACGGGCACATTTAAAGGCAAAGATTCCTTGTCCAGTTTGACACATTTGGCCACTTTCAAAAGAAAAAAGATTTGAATCATAGTCATAGCGACGGAGACAGAGGTAGTGCCGTTTTACAGAATCTCTTTTACTGGTGTACAAAATTAGTTCTGTATCTGTAAGTTCCATTATGCCAGAACCCAGTTCATTACCATCATCATCCACATTAATAACCTTAAACTTGTTTCAGTGGTTACCTGGGACAGTTTCTTTATCTGGACAGCTACAACAGCTACCCATGACTTCTTTAGAAGACCATGTGATCCCTCTGGACCCAGTCCAAACCACGCGTTAAGAGTCTTTCAGTCTTTCCCCGACGAATTTACTTAGTCCTTTTGAGGGTGACTCACAGTTGAT